GAATGGATCCTCTAAAAACGATCAAGTAATAACTTTTTGGTGAAAAAAAATGTCAAAAGGAGTTTTATGGAGATTGTAGTAATTTCAATAGTTGAGATAGTTGAGTCAATTGAAGCTAGACCACCATGGAAAACTTGGGAGCACTGGACAGCCGTTTCTTCCTATTTTGGGACTCCTCATGAAATCTATGGAAACTAAGGAGGCCTTTTCATGAAGCCAACCATTTTCAGAAATACCCCTCTTCAATTAAATTAATCGTGTTAGTAAATGATGTGACTACTGCAAGAACTGTATATCACGACAATAAACTTAGCAGTTAAAGGCTGACTGTTAGTAAGTTCACAGCTTGTGATGTAATAACAGATCATGGATAGTCCTTAATACTAATTAGACTTAGCCTTCTGTGACTACTTTTAGTTTCCTAAATGGAAACTGATCATACTGGGAAGGAAGTAAAACGACATGTCTGTGATGAAACCTGAAACGACGGAGCAGCTGAAGTGTTTTACTTATGTGATCATTTGGAATTGTTTTCAGCAACAGAAATGGTGATCATGCCAGTGAACTGTTACGGATAGGAGGAATTATTTCAAAAAAGAGATGAGAATAGTGTACCATGCACTTCTCAAGATAAAGACTTCATGACCTTTTCTAAGGTGTTTATTGGGTAGAGTAGTGATTACACTCATCAGAAGTGATCATTAGTAGAGATTAAGTAATAAAATGTAATCAATATTTCACGTAGTTACGTTATTAAAGATAATTAGATACTTTAGATACTTTGCTTGTTAAAATTAGTCAACTACTTGAGTTATTGAACCAGAGGATAATCATAGCTCTTCAATAATCCAAGTGTATTGAATATGAAATCGTGAATTAGGTATATGGCAATAAGTCATTCAAGTGGGATTTATTTTAATGTCTGTAAAAACAATCAATTTCAGCTATATAAGTCTCTTCAGAATGGTTGACTGTATATTTTATGTGGAGTGTAGGATTCAATGTTTGGCGAAATCCTACCAGATAGTAATATCGTACATTTTTTGTAGTGACGAATTCATTGTTAACAAACCGATTTTATTAGTGACGAAAAATGATTGAATAGCTTTCAAAACTCTCCACTTCATAGAAATGTTACAGCAAGAGAAGAGATGGACATTTAGTATCTGAAAAGAATTGATTATGGAAGTATTATTATGTCATTATTAAATTTTTTAATAAAACAAGGTACAGTTAGTGTGGATTTTACCTAACAGTGTTATCTAGGGCTCTCATTGTATCTTGCTTGTGAGTCGATGGCTAATGTTGATATTTGTATTGAAAATCAGATCACTTCATCAGATTTTCGAAATTATTCCCCACTATCCATCAACGCAGATGATCAGTCACTTGACTTAGTGTTAAAACAATGGCTAACTGACTAATATACGTGAAAGCTGATGTAATAATCCAAGAATCTACTTCTCATCCAATCAATTGAAATTAAAGTTTATTTATTTATTTATTTCAATAGTTGAAACCATGAGTCAATTGAAGCTAGACCACCATGGAAAACCTGGAAAATCTGGACGGCGGTTTCATCCTATCGTGGGACTCCTCAGCAGTGAGCATCCACGACCTCGCCCCCTACGAGATTCGAAATATTAGTACAAAAGGGCACCAAATACATATGCGCCACACAAGTCACTTGATTTTTGTATGAACTATGATACTGCCTGAGTGCCCGAACCGAAGCAGGTTGTTTTCTTAGAGGGCCACACCCGGGGCCTTCAATTTAAAATTCTAATCCACAAGGCAGTGGGGCAACGTCAGGAGATGGAGTCCCATGATATCCGGTGACCAATAATACGCAGTTTATTCGCTCGGGATCCTGGGGTCCATGTGTACCATTGGTTTGGAATCAGGGTTTTCCAACTGTCAAAGATGCATCCTCTATATCCACTAACCCGGTTGAAACTCTGGACATTCACTTTTCGTCCTCTGAATTCCATAAACAACCCCCTCACCGCGAGAACTTAGTGAGTAGGCCTTCCCTGGCATTGGTTGTATTCGCGCGGCCATTTGAGAGCATTTCGAGAGAGAGCTGACTCCTCCCACTCCCAGGGCAACAAAGGATTGAGTTTTATAGAGTAAAATGACACATGTATATACGGAAAATTCTGCTAGAAAAACATGACTGAATGTTAGTCCAGAAAAAGAATAAGTGAATACAAAAAATGAGTTCTGTAGGTCACTTGTCAACGAATAGAATTAATATCTTTTAATAGTATTGTGTTCCATGAAAGTTTATAGCTTATTGCTGAAACTTTTCTGAGTTCTTAGAACTCAAATTAGAGTCGATGTCCATTTTAGGACTCGAACCCAGTATTGTTCGCTTACCAACACCATTGTGTTATCCATTTAGCTACTGAGTCCAGCTGACGAGTTCCAAATAGGATGAAACGCTCCTCTTGGATTTCACTGCTAGCCACTATCCATTTTGGTTATAAAGACTTGAATTTATTGTACTAACTTTTAAAAAAAATCGTTGAATGACTCTTAAATATCCCAATTATTTTAGAAATTTAAATGGACAGTTGGATAGTTTTTACTTGTTTTTTTAAAATTTGGATACAATGAATTCCGTATGGAAGCAATCCACTTAAAACAGATATGTGGTAATAGAGACTGATTAGTTTTAGTCTTAAATATAATGAACTGTTATAAACGCTTATTATTATTATTATTATTATTATCCTCAGCTTTATTCAATATTATATTTTTGATACAATATAGAATTCTCAGCGTAAAGTATTTCAACAAGTTTCCGTTTCTTTCTTCTTGGTCGGTCCTGGCGATAAATACTGAGTGATCTCCAGTTAGGTGTTAGTAGTTCAGTAAATGAACATCTGAATAATGTGCATTTTTTTGGTTGTATATTGCCAGCAACTACATTGTCTCTTATTGAGTTTTTTGTAACTTTGACAACGAAAGGTTGCACACTTTTCAGAAACGCAGCAGACTTGTTTATGCGATTAATAAACATAATGATATATTAAAACAAACAAAAGTAGATAACTTGTTGAAATAGCTAGATGGCAGGAACAGGTAGCCCAGATGCTCAAGCAGGCCGCCCTTAATACTTGAACACTCGTTGAGTAAGCTACTGGCTACATGAAATCAGTTAGTTAATGAATAATATGTTGACATTTCAAGTGGTTGGTAGTGTGTTTAAGTGTTAGTGAGAATATGGATATTGGGATCCAGGTATATCTATATTATATCAATATCTTGTGATTAAACACTAAATCAAAGCAATCCATCCAGGATTTATAATTGCTAACAGAGAATGATCAATTGAAGTCTTAAATATCAACAATGAGAAATTATAAATACTTACTAATCAGTATTGTTGGGGAGATTCTTAACACTTTATAGAACTACGCCTAACTCTGTCATCCCAGATGGAAAGTGTCTTGCTGAAATAGTGTTCGGAAGAAGTATCCGAACTATATTTGAGGCCATGTTACCTCCCACACCAACGTATGGACGTAGATAACGTCAGAATATACGAAGTTTTAACATGGGTGATAAAGTGGTTGCCAAGTTATACGTTGGGAAAAATCGTTGTGAACCGGGAGTCATTGAAAAGAGAATGGGAAATATTTTGTACAAAGTGCGAGGGACTTTCGGAACGTGGACTAGATACATCAATCAAATACACAGAGAAAAAAAGACTCTAAACACGGCAGATAGTCGAGTGAATCTTCCGCTAGAGACAATCACAGATACTCCGATGGCAAAAACTCTAACAGACACTCATAGACGCTTGATACCAAGAAAGTCCGAACGCCGCAGAAAATCAGTTATCAAGCTACAAGTAGATCCGAAAACAAGGTATCATTTTTTGAAAGGGTAAGGTGTTGAGGAAATCCAGAAAACTCGAAAGAAAACATCCAGAAAGAGAAAAGTCACATGACGAGTTTCTGGTTAGATGATTACTTGCACTGCTACTAAGTTTAGTAGCATTCCAGGATTTTCCGGAAACCCAAAGCCATCTAAAATACGATAAAAAGACCCTAGATTTCCTGTATATAAACGAAATTTAGGAGTAAAGCGTTTCTTGCAGATTTCGCACCTTTTATCTTTTGTTCAAGTTGCTGTGTGGATCTAGCCTTGAGGATACTATTAGAGCTTAAGAACAGGATCCAGGGTTCAATTAGAAGACTTATCAGGTATTGTTTTACTTGAATCTTCCTACTGATATCTAGGACTACAATTGATCAGTCTCTTATTAGCATATGCGCATACTGTGCGTATGGCCTCGATATTGACTTAATTCACAAGCATTCTAAGCAAAGATGGATGGTGGCTAGCAATGCCATCCAATACATGTGTTTCGTTCTATTCGGGACTCGTCAGCTGGATGTACCTGCTTTTTTAAAAAATTCCCTATGTCCGCAAATTGTAAGTTATCTCCAAGATCAAATCAAACGGATTCAATTAGAATAATTCTCAAATGAGAGTTTTATATTGTACTAGAAACATAATACTTCTATGAATAATCTTTGTTTTAATCCTTTTCTTAATCATATTGTCTAGTTTCATAATGATACGTTTCTTTTTTTCTAACCGATAACAAAACTAAATGAAACATGCATCTTATATGAACAAATCTGATTTATTTCATTTGTATAATTTACAATTAGGTTTGTTATAATTTAAACACGTAGACTGGTGTTAATATCGTTTTTATATGTAAAATAATAATAATGTGCTTAACTGTACACTACACTATATATATAGAAAGATAGATAGATAGATAGATAGATAGATAGATAGATAGATAGATAGATAGATAGATAGATAGATAGATAGATAGATAGATAGATAGATAGATAGATAGATAGATAGATAGATAGATAGATGTGTGGATAGATAGATTTACATTGTTACTAATCATTGTGATCATCATTTGGCTTATTCGTTTCCATTTTATTAAACAAATTCATTATTATGATTTATATTTTATCGGATTCATTTGATGATTGTATAGATTCAGTTAAACAAGTAATAGTAGTTGTAGGACTTGATAGATCACAATTACTTGAATCAATGACTGTGTCTTGTTTTGATTCTTGTTGTTCTATATTGGATTGCATTGATGACTTCTTATGCATACCTATATTAATAAAGTAAGAAAGAAAATTCAATAAAAGAAAATTATTAAACAGATTACAGATTTAAATGATGATTGAGTTCTGTAATATTTTTGACTAACTACTCAGTCTCCGTGGTAACTAATGTTAGGATTTCTTTATTATTACTAAATTATACCCCAATCAGCATTCTACATCCAAGACTGTCCTGGACAGTTCTTTTCAATTCTTTCCAGTTTCTGTTCATTCTTTTCATGTCTGCTTACAATTCCCGACATAATATGTTCTTTGGCCTTCCTCTTTTCCGTGTCCCCTCATGATTCCATATTGGGGTTTGTCTCGTGATGCAGTTTGATGATGCTCACAATCTTCATCCTATCCAACTTCGACATCTTTTTCCAATTTCCCCTTCATTTGGAAGCTAGCTTGTTCTCTCCTACAGTAAACTGTTGCTGATAGTATCTGGTCTTGAGTGGACAACTGTGTTTAAATACTTGTACCTTCTTGATGATGGTTGTGATAGTTCTTCAAGATTGAGCTCCGTACAATAGAACTGTCTTGACATTCGTATTGAAGATCCTGACATTGATGTTGGCTTACAGATAGTTGTTTTAAATTCCATATGTTCTTCAACTGTAGGAATGTCTGCCTTACCTTGCCAATCCTTGCTTTTACATCTGCATCATATCCTCCTTGTTCATTGACGATGCTGTTCAGGTATGTGAAAGTCTTCATCTTTCTTATCCTCAAAATGTTAAATTTTGTTTATTTAATTTGGAGTTTAGTTATTAATTTAAGCAGTCCAATATTGTGGTAAACATTCTCTTATTTAAAATGAATGAAGGAAACACGCTGGAAATCTTACTAAACGTAATCCTTTTTTATATATACAGGGATTTAGATAATATTCAGTTGGTTTCTGAAGAAATACTTACGACTGAATTGATTAAAGTTGCAAACACTAAGTAACTCAATGGTTTAAGTAATAAGTGTTCTCTGTTAGAAGTGATAGTTCTGAAATCGATCTGCAGTAGGATTATGAATATGCACCGTCAACGATCCCCATACTAGATATGGACAGCCATTCAATGCTACCTGGTTATTAGGGTCATCTCCGTCACTCTATAAAATAAACTTAAATGATCTAATCAGGAATTTGGCGAATGGCTGTTTTGTTGGTTTATCACTGCCATGTGTATATTTATTGGTTATACAACTTTCTAAATTGATGATGAAAAGGAATTATTGATAGAACTATGAATAGTAAGAAAGTTTATCTTCAGATATATGAATAAGAATTGAATGATTTGGTGAATATTTCTTATGGCATAATAAATTGATATAATCTGTCGAAACTATAGAGCTTTGAATAAATGTTTCACCTAAAGTGGTGACTCTTCAACAAAATCCGGCTACAGCGAAATAAATCTTTCATGCACTCCGTTGTTAAGTGATTTAGGACATTCAAAAGTTACACCTTACTGACGAGTGTCGTTTATAACAAAACTCAAGTTAGACCGGATTTCTTGATGACTGCCTCCAACAATCTATGATGTCGACTAATTCATATTAGTGATCATATTACAACTTGATAAGTAGGATTTTATCAGCACTAACGGAATAGACAGACACGATAATCAGTGTTCAATGTATTAAGGTTTATTGAATATACAATAAGTGAGAGGATTGATTCTACAGATACTGATATCAGATGAAATCTTCTGGTAAGTATACCACATCATGCCACCCACGACACCGCGACCATCGGGACTCAAACCCAGGACATATCAGTCTCGCGCCAGGCGCTTAACCAACTGATAGGTCCTGGGTTCGAATCTCGCGGGGTGCGGGATCGTGGATACACGCTGCTGACGAGTCCTATACCAGTACGAAACGGCCGTCCAGTGCTCCCAGGTTTTCCATGGTGTTCTAGCTTCAATTGACTCATGATTTCAATCAGTGAAATTTCTAGAATCTCCACAAAACCCCTTCTGATCTCAGGTTATGTTAAATTGGATCTTAACTTTAGCCATTTTTAAGTACATCAAATATTGAAAATGGAATGGTACTGATCAAAATCTTCTTGTCTTCTTCCAGAATATTCCAATAACTTACATCATTAATTTGTCATACAACGGAATCATTATCTATAGTTTCTATAGCTAGTATTGTTAACATTTAATTTTTAAACTACATTTCATCAAATAATTTTTTTCAAGTTGATCAGTTAGTCAGTAAAATTCCTCGTGAATCAGCTGTCAGACATAAATATCAAAAGATGATTACGAAATATTAGTTGAAGCTAGAAATGTGAAGTATTGGATACTAAATTAAAAGTTTGATGATTAAGAGCTGAACAAAAGGCTTGAAGGTATTGAGTTTGGCTTCTAGTATAGCGATGGGCAAAACTGAAGTGAGTGTTATTTAGTTTTCCAATATCATTAAGTTGATTTAAGCGATTGACGAAAACTAACTTTAAAATGAACGACTTTCATGGTTGAATTCACTAGTCAATTAATGCTAGACCACTATAGAAAACCTGAAAGCATTAGACGGCCAGTTCATCCCAGTATGGGACTCCTCAGCTGTGTTCATCTACGATCCCACTCGCGGGACTCCAACCCAGGGCGTAGCGCGCTAGCGCACGAACGCTTAACTTCCTGGCCACTGAACCAGTGTCTAACGGTTCTAATGTTTAACTTCAACCGATTCACAAAATTATGCGCGCGAAACTGATACGTCCTGGGTTCGAATCCTGCGAGACGGGATCATGGATGCGCATTGCTGAGTAGTAGTCCCATAACAGGACAAAACACTTGTTCAGTACTTCCAGGTTCTCCATGATGGTCTGGCTTTAATTAACTCATGAATTCCACTAGTGAATTACTATGGTCTTTACAAAACCCCTTTTTGAACAATTTTCATTAATATTTCCATTTGAATATCGAATTTTTTTATTCTATCTAATTTTTTCCAGTCTCTATGTTGTTGTTATTCGAAAATTGTAGAACCGACATACCAACAAGCACACAACTCTTTCTATACACATAACATTAAGAATCAAGAGTTAATTTGAAAACACACAAACACAGACCGAATATTAAAAATCAACCTGATAATGACCAACTTTAAAATTAGCGTAAAATATGTTATTAAAGAAAAAATCCATCCTTAATTACTCGAAATCATCATCATCTTGTACCCCCATTCTCCTCAATTAAGTAATAATCTATATTTCTTTCATGTCTGTTGATTAACCTTTATTTTCAATCAGTAACAGACCTAACAACAATGTGTGGGGGGGAGGGGGGAAACATTCACACGCTTATTTACTCTCTCACGTATATATATATACCCATTTAACATCCCTATCATTTAGTTAGTTAGAGAGTGTGTGTGTGTGATGGGAAGTAAAACGTTAGTAACAATTTAACAAAATAAGTGCATTTTTTGTTTTAATCATAGCCTTAGAAAAATTATTAAATAAAAAGAATTCAATATGGCACCCCATGATGTGAAATGAAATAAAATTCGAACTGATTTTATAATCAAATAAATAACAACAAAAAATAACTTTTTTATTCCCCTCCCCCCACAGAAAATCTACATAGATATACACGAAAATTAAGACTTCCTGTAGAGTTGTTGTTATCTAACTAGGATGTAACTATTCTAATTATTATTACATTATTGTAGCTAAGGCATTTAATTATAACGTGCATTATTTGTCTATGCATATGGAGATATATATATATATAAATGATCATTTCTAGAACATCCTTCTACAACATACTAATTGTGTATATATATCTGTATATATCCACTTATTAAGCATACACATGTATTCACTGACTAAATTCTATTATCTTATTATAATTAGATACTTGTGAACTATTAAATAATCTTTAATGAATAAAGTTTAAATTATGCATAGCGTGCATTATTATCATTAGTGTTTAGTGTCTTTCTTTTTTCTTTCTTTTCTTTTCTTTTTTTAAAAAAATAATTAATTATCTCTCACTCTCTCATCTGATTTTGTTCTTCTTTTATTATGAAACTTTTTTCTTGTTTAACTGTTGTATACCTTTTTCTCTTTTTTCTTTTCTCTTCTTTTCTTTACTTCACTTTTCTTTTCTTTATTAAGCTTCATTTCGTTTCGTTATTATTATTATTATTATTATTATTATTATTATTATTATTATTATTATTATTATTATTATCAGGAAATGTTCATCTCAATTAATTTAACTTATTTCGATACAAGAATGTTCATTATGTTAACTATGTTAGTTTATAGTTTATATACTTTATTATTAATCTATCCAATAAAATATCTTTTATACATATTTATTTATGCATCTATGTATAGGCATCTATATACATAAACGATTGTATATCATTATATATGTTGTATATATAAATATATTAGTATATATCTATTCGATGTCAGTTATATAACTTTATTAATAGGCTAATACTAAGAGGTAATATATTCATGGAATGAATGGAGATAATGTAATATTTCGTCTAATAAACTTATCAAATAAAACAATTAAGCAAAGATTTAAGTGTATGTAAATTGGCTAACAACCACTTTATACTTTATTCTTTAGTATTTCTTTTTCAAATACAATTGATAGACAGTAGTTTATTTTCACTATCAAAATTTTTATTTAACTTTATGATGTAAAACAGTAAGTATTCAACTGCAAGGTGAAAAGTAAGTAAGTAAGCAGATAGATAGATAGATAGATAGATAGATAGATAGATAGATAGATAGATAGATAGATAGATAGATAGATAGATAGATAGATAGATAGATAGATAGATAGATAGATAGATAGATAGATAGATAGATAGATAGATAGATAGATAGATAGATAGATAGATAGATAGATAGATAGATAGATAGATAGATAGATAGATAGATAGATAGATAGATAGATAGATAGATAGATAGATAGATAGATAGATAGATAGATAGATAGATAGATAGATAGATAGATAGATAGATAGATAGATAGATAGATAGATAGATAGATAGATAGATAGATAGATAGATAGATAGATAGATAGATAGATAGATAGATAGATAGATAGATAGATAGATAGATAGATAGATAGATAGATAGATAGATAGATAGATAGATAGATAGATAGATAGATAGATAGATAGATAGATAGATAGATAGATAGATAGATAGATAGATAGATAGATAGATAGATAGATAGATAGATAGATAGATAGATAGATAGATAGATAGATAGATAGATAGATAGATAGATAGATAGATAGATAGATAGATAGATAGATAGATAGATAGATAGATAGATAGATAGATAGATAGATAGATAGATAGATAGATAGATAGATAGATAGATAGATAGATAGATAGATAGATAGATAGATAGATAGATAGATAGATAGATAGATAGATAGATAGATAGATAGATAGATAGATAGATAGATAGATAGATAGATAGATAGATAGATAGATAGATAGATAGATAGATAGATAGATAGATAGGTAGATAGATAGATAGATAGGTAGATAGGTAGATAGATAGATAGATGGTTAGGGGTGTATAGCTTATTCTTCTAGTGTTTACATCTATCATGGGTGGTGTAATGTTAGTTATTGACAGTAAGTAGTCTAATTCCCATAAGAAAGAAGAGGTGGATCAAGTTAGAAGAATATACTATGGATATTATTTTATCAGATAGATAAGTGGGCAAATCAAGTTCTTTTTTTCCTGTTTTTAAGGTGATAAAAAAAGAACGAACTGAATACAGCCATTCCGGGGAGAAGTGTGTAAAGGTAAGAGAAATTAAAAACAAATTACTAAGGACAATCAATTAATTAATTAATTAATTAAATATATATATATTCGTTCATTCTCACCCTCCCATTTATTATAAACGCAATCATTATGTCCTGACAACACACTCATAATTATAGTGTAAGGAAGCATTGAATATATATGAAAATATCTGAATCCACTTATCGAAATACTTTGTGTTTTCATGATGTCTCTCTCTTGTATATTTTCTCTATATCTACATAGATGTTTTCAGTCTGTATTCATGATTACATAAGGTGAATTCACTGGAAATGTTTACATTTCATAAGTGTATATGTAGATTTCTTTTATGTTTATTTGTATGTGTGCATGTTTGTATACAAGATAAATTGGGAACTGGTCAATCATATAATGGGAAGTCGATTATTATTATTATGATGATGATGATTGTTATTGTTATTATGTTGATGTGATAATTTCCTTAATAATAATAATTAGAACGATAAGTTATTACTATCTTTATTCTTATATTGAGATTGTTTATCTCTTGTACACAATTTCCTGTGTATATCTTACAATACATTCATTGATTGATTAGTTGATTAACTTTAAGGGGTATTTAGCCTATAATAGGCAATTAGTAATAACTAATAATAATAATATTAATGAGTATATATTGGTTGTTCGGATCTTCCCATCAATGTTTAAAACTATGATTGACTTGTCCTCTTTAGCATCTTATGCATATTCCATCGATATTACCGTTAAATCATAAGCAATTTAAACAGAAATGGACAACGGGTAATAATAGCGAAAGGCTTTGGGTTCCAATCTCGGTGTGAATATCAGCTCTGAGATGCAGGTACATTCGACTGACGAGTTCCAGATGAGAACTAACATGCGTCCTGAGTTCCACTACTATCCGGTCTCATAAGGATCTTGTGGTGATAGTGAGTCATGATCTTAAGACCATGGCCCATTGCCGGGGTTTAGAACCCTCTAGGCCTTAATACGGACATTCACTAAGTTAGATACTATCATGTTCACTATAGTATACACAACCTTAGTGTGAAGTAAGCTTGAGAACTGCGTTCACGCTACAAACCCCTGATTAAAGATGACTCGGATATTCTGGAAAAAGTACAGAGGGCAGCTACCCGTGGAATTCCAGAACTTCGAGGTCTACCATACAAAGAGAGGCTTGAAAAGCTAGACCTCTTTACTTTGTCCTATCACAGATTATGAGGTGATCTCATTTTGATTTACAGAATACTAAGAAATGATTTTGGACTTAATATATTCTTTGTTTTTCTTTCCACTAGATTGGGACATCTCAGAGGACATAGCAGGCGAGTCGAAATGCTAAGAACGAACAAACTACCCATGGCATATAGATTTTTACACTGAGTCACCAAATTCTTGGAACCTGTTACCCGAAGCAGTCATGTTCGCACCTTCAATTGACGCATTCAAGACAAGACTAGACACTCATAGAAGTATACAAGAAAAAGAATAACATAGGCCTTAGGCCTTCTGTCATTACTACACAAATCTTAATCCATCTTTCTTTCATAGTATTAGTAACAATAATTTTATCCTTATCATATGACAAATTGTAAATGAAATGATTTTTCATCTTCTGTATATATCAAGTGTATAATTATCATGCAAATACACACAAATACACATATGTACATTGTAAACATCTAATTACTTCTGTGTATCTGTGTTCCTTTATATATTATTGTTATAAAAATCGATCAGTGTGTGGGAAGATTGTTATTTTTAAGATAGTTGTTCCCGTTTATATATCAAAGTGAGTCTTAATTTTGATGGAGTTTTATCCTCTGAGCTGGATGGCTTGGTAGTGATCTTTTGAACGACACAATCAACAAAAACTTCAGTATCATAAAACAAATGTAATGCATAAATCTGTATTATAGATCTAAGTAAATAACAGTTGACTGGGAATTAGTGACTGATTTAGAATTCTCATGAGAAAGTGTGACGAGTTAATTGATTTCAAAATGAAATGGGATGGGAGATACAACCAAAATAAAGAATAAAACAATGACTGGTTAGACATGAACAATAACCAATCAACATCGAGGTCTACCGGACGAGCTGTGAGTCATATATGGAGAAATTCGTGCTGATGATGCTGCTCAGAATAACGGTGAAAGCTCCACGACCAAACCATCCAGCTCAGAGAACAATACTCCATCATAATCATCCACCTGAGCGACAAATGTTCCCCACCATCTCGAAATCGGTTGGTGGTTACTCATGCTATATTATCAAGTGACTGGAGTTGGAAATTGTGACTTACGTGATTTCGTGGAGTTCCAACTCAGTGGTTATTTGACATCATTCATACTTGTAACTTAATTCGTGATATGATGATATGATCGACTATTGTTATAATAATCTGAAAACTAGAAATTTCCTGTTGACTACTAAACGAACTAGTAGTAACATAGATTTGTATTTAGAAATTATAATGCCTTAAATGTTTTGTTGATATGAGCAGGATTGTTATCAACATAAGTTTTCTGAAGGTATTCTTTTCATAGAATGTTAAATGATAGTCTCATCGAATTAGAGGATTTTTTTCGAATCCTATTTACAAAAACGGATAGTGACTGAAATCGTTATCAGTGACCTTAGTGTAGTGAACGAAAACACAAGTGGGGACAATCGAATGCATTTAGATGCAAAATTACAGAATCACTTAGTAAAATCCGAGGTCCATACAACCAATACTTCATTTGTAAAATGTCAATCAATCGTCTCAGGTTTCATCGTTCTTTCGTTTCCATACGAATCATTCCTTGTTCTCATTCTCTTTACTTCAATCTCCTTAATCTTCTACCACTAGGTATTTCACTTTCGATTGATGATACATACCATTTATATCTGTCGACGTCGGTAGCATACACCATACAACCAGTTTACTTTTATAATAATAAAATAATGATTTTCAAGACATGTTCTCTATGTGTATATCTTCCAGGTGAGAATTATTTAAATATTTGAGAGTATATATCTTTAAGGTAATGGTCATTCTTGATGAAACCGTTAAGTGACTAATATTCCATATTATACAATTTAGTATATGGTATTTGTGGAGTTTACCACATTTTATAGTTTATATTAATGACTGACCATTTTTAATCTGAAGACCTTTAATAGCTGTCTCATTTTAGTATGGAACTCTTTAAGAATACGTACTAATGACCGCACCTCAATCGATTGAACCCAGCACTCAAAAAGAGGGCATAACTTTATACACTTGGTATAATTTGCTGAGAAAAACAAAGCGATGCATTAATACGGTTAATTAATCAATATAAATAAAAAAACATAGTTTCTCCATTATAAATTACCTAACAACCATGGTGCACATGATTCATCATTATTATCCAATGCTGATTTAAGTATTGTTTTAGGTAAAGGCAATGAATGTCGAACCATAGCTCCATACAAACCATATTCAGCCATAATACTACTTTTACCCCATTTCTTTTCTGTTTTACGCCATTTTGCTCGTCGATTTTGAAACCAAACCTGAAACAGAATATTTGATAAATTTATTGATAATTATAAGAAAATAATAATAATCAGTTGATGAATTAGCCAGATTGTAGGTAAACAAATGTATACACAATTATAAGACTTATCAATGTTCACTAGCAGTGCTAAATTCATCACTTTCCTTCATTCTTCACCGTCTGTCTAATGGGTGAATACCTTATATCAGTGTAATTTATATTGAAGAATTCATCTAGAATGTTAAACTGAGTCACAATGAATAGGTTTTCATAATAGATGAGGATAACTTCAATCTCTTGAAATAAAATCATTGAAAATGACTCTTCAATCTGGAGCACTCATCTACTAGATGAAGTAATTGAATGTAATGAATATATTATAATCAGTCCATATTGAAAACGTTGAAAATGTCCTCAGTTGTTAGTATATTTACTGGAATAAAAATAAAACTTTTCATCCTGGTGTCATGAATGGAATTTTTTTGAATTGTAGAAGTTAGTATTATCCCAGCACTTAATATTCGAAGTAAAAGTACATAAGTTCTGTCCTTAAATAGTTAAACACTGAAATGGGTAAATTTATGTAGACTTGTAAAGCATTTAGAATAATACGTTTTAAACTAAGATTCCACTGTAACATGAATAGATCTAATTGTTATATCCCGATAAGCATAATGAATTATAACTGTTGGAATCTATTTCTGGACTATTACTATACGTATATTTTGTATTGTATAATTGTTAAGTAACTAAGCTATCCATATTCATGTTCCTCCTATCATAAGCTTTATTTTGATCTATGGACTATTATTATACGTTTTACCATTCTTGAGTTATTCCCTGTCTACCAATTACTACCTCCCACATTCACAACCACTTTTGGTCAGATCTCGTACAGATGATGTTTCCTATTTTATGGTACGGTGTGGTCTGTTTGGTTGGTATATAAACCCAGTATGTTTGAAATATATGATTCATATCGCGGAGACTGAGATTGGTGTTCTGGACTCAAACAGGCAGAACTAGGCGGGAAGAAGGACCAGTAAAGATTCTAGACTGTTGTTACGGATTTTATGCGCCATTGGTCCGGTTGATAATTCACTGTTTTTTAGTTGGCGGTATGATAATGTTATACATTGATAGGGGCACAAACCCACAAGTCATAACACTATTCTTCTTTACTGTCAAAGAAATATCATGATAAGATTAATGGTAATATGCAAATATTTGTACTCAGAGTTTATAAATCAATACGAACCTTATAAATTAATATTTCGAACTATATATTTAGATGATTGAAATCAGTTACTACGTGAATAGGTTTCATGTTGGTTGGTACTCGTTAGTATAGAGTTACTACAATCTTGAGCGAATTTTCGTTCTCTGAAGCATTTGGTTCCATATTACCAAGTGTCATATTAAATTTTATTTAAAGCTGAACTGCCTAATCCATCGCTCACCTCTTGTGATACTGAGGTATTCATATTAGATGATGACTACATGACAATCAATGTCATATCTGTTAAGTCTTTAGCGCTGATAAATTTCTGTCGATGAAGTTACCTCAGCATTTATTAAGCTTGTAGAAACTAATATTATATTCATTTAGGTTTCAGAACTTGCAAGTGATCGTCTTCAACCATACAGAGCATGAGATACCGAATAACTTAAACTAATTGCTATGTTGCAATATAATCCGTTCAATTCAATCAGAGCTGAAAGACTATGAAAATCTGATATTAGTCACTAACCAGTGACAAACCAGTTGTAACTATCAATCGTAGTATGAATAGTTCAGTTGCATATTCTCAGGATATGGATTTGGGTGATGCTGTAGTGAACAAGAACACGGGTGGGGACTATGGAATGCATTCGACACGAAATTACAGAGCATCTCACTAAAATCTGAGAACCATCTAGTAAATCGTTAATTTGCAAAATATCAATCCATCATCTCAAACTTGACTGTTCCTGTTGCAAATATCAATCAATTGTCTCAGATTTCATTCTTCATGCATTTTCATACCAATTGCGTCCCGTTCCCGTTCTCTTATACTGAAATACATTCTATGCCTGACTACCGTTATATACTACTTATATGGATATAAGTAATCCATATCACAATGCTGCTTCGATTTTTATAAGAAACATCAATTTCATCGAAATTGTTAGTATACCCAACTAACCCAAAGCTTATGTTTAAGGTTTCCTGCTGATTAATTACAATAACTTAACTTTTAAACAAACACCATTCATCAATAAGATAACCCTCCCCCCTCCAAAAAAACAAAGTAAAGTAAACAATTAAAAACACTTGTATTTACTTGAATTCTATCTTCAGGTAATTCAGCTTTCATAGATAATAATTCACGCTGATAAACATCTGGATAATGTGCTTCATGAAATGCTTTCTCTAGTTCATTTAATTGTCCACTTGTAAATATTGTTCTAAACAAAATATATATATTCAACAGAAGCGATCAATATAAATAGGAAAGAGAAAAGAAAGAAAGCGAGCGATAATTAACAAACTTTCATAAACAGGTTGTCAACTTGTATATGGGAAAAAACTAAGATATTCAAATATAACACAGAAGAATACTAACCTAATCACATTTGATGGAGAAACTCTAGAATAGGTGGAAACTTTCTTGTATTTGGACAATATCATTGATGAACTATGGAGGATCTGATGAAGATATGAAGGTAAGGATTAACAAACTAAAGGCAGCATTCCTACAGTTGAAGAATATATGGAATTCAAAATAACTTTCAACTAATATCAAAGTCAGATTCTTCAATATGAACATCAGGATAGTCCTACTGTACTGAACTGAAACTCGGTGAATGGCCACAACCATCATCAAAATGGTACAGATATTGATAAACAATTGTTTGCACAAGATATTCGATATCTGTTGTTGATTGGATACCATCAGTGACAGTTTACAATGGGAGAGAACAAACCAACTTCCAGTTGAGGAGAAGGTTAGGGAAAGATGTTGGATGTGGATAAGAAATACATCGTGGAAACCATCAAGCTGCTTCACGAGACAAGCCCCAACTTCGAATCGTGAAGGGAAACGAGAAAGCAGAAGGTCAAAGAACACGCTACGTCGAGAAGTGGAAGCAGACATGAGAAGAATGAACAACAATTGGATAGAACTAGAAAGGAAGGCCTAGGACAGGGTGGGTTGGAGAATGTTGGTCGGTGTCCTATGCTCCATTGGGGGTAACAGGCGTACAAAAAATTGTATTAGCAAAGATTATTACTTAATAGTATGTGCAATTCATTATTAATTATCAGCTTCCAGATCATTAAAGAAAATAACTGAATCATTACCACACTACCTTACTTTAATACTACACAAAAAACGTATTTGAAATGAATAAGAACTAGAAAGAGAAGATGGATATTTTGCAATATAGCGTTTAAGATTATAAGGGCGACAAATAGTTAGTTCACTAGCATCATGATTTACAAATAAGTTTGAAACCTACCTGAAAGTCTTTACTAACAACATATACATATTGCAGGAATAAATTATCATAGCTGATTGACTTACCTATGCCTTCTTCGTTTGCTTGACTTAGCACTACTCTTATTGTTATTATTATTATTACCATCATCATCATTGAAGCTATCACTATCCTCATCATCAATATCGTTACCACCGTCATTGTCGTCATCACCGCCATCACTATTGAGTTTTAACAATACATTATCCTGATTCATATAATTTGTCAGTATTTCAATGTTGTTAGATGATGACATATGACTTGATGTATTGTTACTTTTTCTATGTAAAAAATTAGTAGAATTTGTCTTTCTGGATTTACTTTTATTCTCACGTATATTAGTATTACTACTGCGATTACTTTTATGTTTATAAGTAGTAGTGCTACTGATATTAGTAGTTGCAGTAGTAGTAGTAGTAGCAGGAGTGATAGTAGAATTATTATTATTAATTCTGGAAATGATATCAGTAGTAGGAACAGCAATAGAATCAACAGGAATTGTATCAAGTGATTTATTTGTCAACTTAACAAGATTATGTGAAGCAGTATAGTTCAATGAAAGTGAAGACTGTGAATGAGCACAATTTTGTAGTGTATTACCTTGTCTATTATTAACTTCTGTACAATTATATGATAGATTTCTGTAAGAATTATCACAAGTATAAGGGTTATATTGCTTTTCCAATGATTGATTATTTAGTATAGTGAGTGAAGGGAACAAATATGGCATAGAGATGGATGATGGTAGTAACATTGGAGATGATAACTCATTATTTTCATATAATGGTTTGTTTTGTGATGAATGATTGACAAATTCTGAATTGTAATTACAAACATCAGCAACTGATGGAAGAGATGGTTGAATAGAAGAACTAATAGGACAATCGAATTTAGTATTGAAAAGAGTTTCTGTCATAAAAAATATGGTAGAATAAAGATAAAGATAAATCCATCTTGTATTTCAGTAAAAGAAGACATACAAAACAATTTCAATTTAATCAGATGACAAAAGTGAAGTTTTTGATTGATATCATGAACTGATTGATGTTAGATCACCATTGAAAACCTAGAGGCTAAACGTTCGCGCGCGAGACTGAAGACCCTGGATTCGAATCTCGCAGGCGGGATCATGAATGCGCACTGTTGAAGAGTCCAACAATAGGACGAAATGGTACTGAATTCAAATCTCAGAGTAAATATCAACTCTAAAATGCAGATACATTCCACTGACGAGTTCCAAAGAGGACAAAATGCGTGTCCGGGATTCCACTGCTAGCCACTATCTAACTTTGCTTATAATATACCGAATGGTTACATGAGTAAACTAACACATGTGGATTGTTTATCTAACTATTTTTTACTATTCAGATCTCTATGTCAACATCAGTTTGTTGATGTATATATATACATAAGTCATGAGTATTTTTGTACGTCATTCCTATGTTGTCTTCCTTCTGTTTTTTATTTGATTAGTCTAACTTCAGAAATATGCATTCTAACTAAACCAGCCAACACCTTATGATATTAACTTAATTCTAGAGTATAAATTCAATGAAACAAAATAAAACACAGATATGACATGTGAATAAAGCTGAATCTATTTAATGTTCCCTAGTTTTCTTTTCCTTTTAAATTATCCTCCATTAAATGATAGGAATTCAATCAAACAATATCATCTATAGGATAATTCTAAAACCATTAGGAACTAAGTAGTAATTTGTTAGTTTTCTTCTCACTCTCTGTTCTTTAATGGATCATTCAAACCCTAACACCATACTTCAGTATTACAAAGAAATATGAATTCCGGATTGTTTTCTTTTTCATTATAAATAGGTGTTAATTGGAGAAACCATGAAAAGAACTCATATATTAAAGTTGTCATTTCTTTTCAATAATATAACATGTTAAATGTTAAATATATTTATTATTACCCCTCTCTGATTATAATCATCATATGATCACTAGTGACTGGCTTCAAGAAGGTGTTTCCTGAAGTTTTATGGAGAAGCATTGCTTAGTGGAGTTCAACGGGGTCTGTTGTGAGATAGTAACTCACTCAAGACAGTGGTGGATGTATTGCTCAATTTCGTGGACTAGTTGAAGTTAGACATGAACACCGTTGGATACTAGCCGGCTCAGTGGTCTAGAGGTCAAGCATTCGTGCACGAGACTAATAGGTTTCGGGTTCGAACCTCGCGAGGTGGGGTCGTGGATGCGCACTTTTGAGGAGTCCTATACTAGGATGAAACAGATGTCCAGTACTTCCAGGTTTCCCATGGTGGTATAGCTTCTATTGACTCATGAATTCAATTATTAAGTTATTGAAATTTTGTTTACGAATCCATGTTTTCTTCAAAATATTTCATCCTAGTTTAAGATTCATCAGTAGTACACACACTCCTAAATGAGATCGATTCCATGAAACTCAAGTTTTGTAATGACCGCGCTTACATTTCAAGGATCTAAAAATCTCTACAAGATTTAGGTAAATTAGTAATTATTTGATTTAACTCGTTGTTGATATTTTGATAGAATTTTGATCAGTCTTAGTTGAAATTTGTGCATCCTATGAGAACATTATGACACAAGTCTATAAATAATAGATGGAATATAGATAGCAGTGGAGTTCCAGAATCCTGTTTCGTCCTGCTTAGGACTTGTCAGTCAAATGTACCTTCAATTATGAAAATTCAACAATGGGACAATCCTAAACCATTACAAATTAGGTTAAAATAGATACTAGTTGAAAAAGTGGAAAGCTCTGTGGATTCAGTAGCCAAGTGAATTATTCATTGGTGTTTCAGGCCAAAGTACTGAGTTCGAATCCTGGAGCAAACATCAATATGTGCGAGTCCCGAATGGACTGAAATGCAAGTTCTATATCTCGCTGTTCATCACTATCCAACTTTAACAAATTCCTTTACAAGGTTACCGATATCATCTATGGATCCAAATCAGTCTAAGATTTTAGTCTTTTCATTGATCTATCAATAAAAGAAATCAGCAAGATAAGGAGAGAATAAGGAATCATAGTTTTAACATTAGTGTAAAGTTAGATATAAGGGGAATAGTTTAAAAAGAAGTGGAGAAGATTTGTAGCTCAGGTGGATGATTTTGATGGAGTTTTGTTCTCTGAGCTGGATGGTTTGGTCGTGAAGCTTTCATCGTGCAACATCGAGATCTACAGGACAAACTGTGAACCATATGTGGAGAAATTTGAACACTTCACTTCTACCTGAAGTTTGTACTGATGATGTCGTTAAAAAGAACGATGAAAATTCCACGACCAAACCATCTAATTAAGAACAAAACTCCGTTTCAAATAAGTATATATGATTACGCCGGGAAATGGAGATGGACATCAGAAAAATGAAAAAGACTTGGATGGAACTAGAAAAGAAGGTCCAGGACAGTGGGTTGGAGAATGCTGGTCTGCGGCCTACGCTCCATTGGGAGTAACAGGCGTAAGTAAGTAAGTAAGGAATATATGATTACATAGTGAAAAGAATATGATGATACTAAACGCAGACTTTGAAATACGATGAAGAATTAATACATTTACACTAATACAATTGAATTTCTAAAGCTGAATATATATAGATGCAACTCAATATAAGCGATATTACAATATTCGTATATTCCATTGATTGAAAATTATATTGTGAACAATGAATCTCTTCAGCTTCTTCATTTTCCTATTTTATGAAAAGTTAACCACCCTAGTTACATCATTCTTATCATTTAACCCTAACCTTAAACTCAATTTGTAGACAGGTTTATTTCTTTGAATAAAAAATCCTACATTTCAGTAACTACAGTTTCCATTATCGATTCTCCGATACAACACAACATGCATTAATCCGATCACACTTGACGGAGAAGATTTGGAAGATGTAAGAACATTTACATATCTAGGCAGTATCATTGTTGAGAACTGTGGATCTGATGCAGATGTGAAGGCGCACATCGGCAAAGCAAGAGCAACATATTTACAATTGAAGAATATCTGGAACTCAAAACAACTCTCTGTCAACCAACACCAAATTCAGAATTTTCAATACAAATGTCAAAACAGTTTTACTGTATGGGGCGGAAACTTAGAGAACTACGAAAGTCATCATCCAGAAAATACAGGTGTTTATTAACAATTGTCTACGTAAAATACTTCGGATTCATTGGCCAGACACTATCATCAACAACGTACTGTGGGAGAGAACAAACCAGACTCCAGGAAGGAAGGAAGGAGGAAGAAGCACTGGAAGTGGATAGGACACACAATGAGAAAACCACTGAACTGAGACACATGACAAGCCCTCACATGGAATCCTCAAGGCTAAATAAAGGAGAACAGGAAGACCAGATAACACATTACGTTGAGAAATGTAGACAGACATGAGAAGAATGAACAACAATTGGATAGAACTAGAAAGTAAGGCTTAGGGCAGAGTGGGTTGTAGAATGCTGGTTGGTGGCTTATGCTCCGTTGGGAGTAACAGGCGTAATTATATAAGTAATAGTTTCTACCATAATATTAAGGTCAGTAATGGTGAATATTATTGTTATAAGTGCTACGTTTGAGGAGATTACGAAATCATCTAAACGGGCAAACAAAACGAAGGTTCAGCAACATAAAAACAAGACAAGCTAACTATTCCGATACGTCTCAGTTCTGCTAACTATATAGAGAAGACCGGGTTCAGACGAAAGAAAGGTATATTCCACGAACAGCTAGAAGCACGAACAAACCAAGAACACAACTCAACCATATATATATCAATATATATAAAGCATAAAATGGTCCTTGGGAAACGTCACAACATAGAATATTCACACAGGTAACAAACCAATGATATCTAATTCCCTCCAAGGTGATGAAGTCGTTCAAAAGAACGATGAAAGTTCCAAGACCAAACCATTCAGCTCGGAGAACAAAACTCTATCAAAATTACAAAAATAAGTCGTTTACCAATCGATTTCTAAGGATGGAACATCCCCCAACCATAAGTTTAAAAAAAGAATTAAAAAACTTTTTTTCTTTCAGTAAATCACTGCATCATTAATATGAAAGAAGGTTAAAAAAATATAGAAAAAAAACACACACACACAACATCTGGTTACTAATTTCTTTCTACCTTGCCAGAAAAACCAAGAAGAAGAACTTCAGAGAATTTTTTTGCTTTTGACTTTATAAACTAAAAAAATTTCACAGTCATTTTGAAATAAGAAGTTTGATACGAGTAATGCAAAAAACATAGTGGGTTCTTTCTTTTTTACCGACTAAAGAAAACAGGTGAAAAGGTCAATTATTATTTTGTTAACACAAGACAACTTCATCATCCCCATCCTCACCATCATCAACACAAATATGATGTACATTATATAATACATAAACAATTAAATAAACCTTGACTGATTATCCCCTAGATTATCTAATATTAGTATTGATGTATGCAAATGTGAGTTTGTATGTGCGGGTGTGTGTGGGGAGGGGGATGGATGGTTTACTCAGCTCCTTCAAATCTAACCCATACATATATTAAGATGTAGTAACAACAGAATTAAAACGATGTTAATTGTTTGTTTATTATGCTTATTCTATTCATCTAAAGTAGATTTTTTTCATTATTAAAAGTTATTCCACAATAGGATGAAACAGTCATCTAGTACTTCCTGGTAATTCCATGGTGGTCTAAATTCAATTGACTTATGATCTCAACTCTTGAAATTACTATAATATCCACAATGACCCTTTTTTTGATAATAAAAGTTAATTGAGCGTATCATTACCAAATTAAAGAAATAAATAAATAAAAGACACTAATCCAATCATTATTTGATTAGTTCTAATATACTTCAAATAATAATCATATGTATCCTATTTAATTCGTTCAAGAAATTGTTACATAACAATATGAT